CCCCGCCAGGCCCCGCTTTCTCAGGGCCCACACACCCTCTGGGTGCCCTGGAGATCTTGTTCTTACCCACAGTTTACGGACACCTCTTGCAAAAAGTCTTTCACGAGCCACGGGTGCCGGAGCAGAACCCCACGGTGTCGACAGCGTCAGATACACTGTCCAAAAGTTAAAACAATTCTTACCCAAACACAGAACGTGTCCCGAGTTCTTGGGCTCCCGGATGCGGGACAAGAAGTCCTAGGCCCCGCCAGAGGTCCCGCCCCACTGCAGGTCAGCACAGGGCGCCGCCGGCTGTCTGCAGGGCACGCTGCGCACCTCACGTGTCCTCTGCAAGTCAACGCCAAGTCGCCCGAGCCATCAAACACAGGCTCAGCCTCGTCCTTGGGGGCTGTCGCACCGTGGGGGGCACACTCGGCGCAGCTTAAGGAGGAGGAGAATTTTGTTTGGTTGGACGTGGTTTCCACAGTGAGAAGCACCTGCTGACAGGGCACCTCTTGAGGATGCACACAGCGGGTCACCCCCCTCCGCCCGGGGCCGGCTGCTGCAGCTACCCCCCCCCCCCCCCCCCCGCCACTTCCTATCACCCCCTCCTAGTCCTCCTAGGTCGTGGCGGTCGGTCGTCAAGGTCATCTCAAGGCTCACCTGCTTCCCCATCAGGCCAGCACCGCCCCAGCAGGTGGGAGGCCTCTGCTCCATCGTCATTACCTTCAGCAGCACCACCGGGTCCCCGCCCGAGACAAGGCACAGCAGCATGTCACTCCCGGCCCTGAGCACAGAGCTCGTCCGCCTGCCACACACCTGCCAGCTGCTGCCACACACCTGCCAGCTGCTGCCGAGAGGAAAGGGGAGCGTGCAAAGGGGCCAGCCGGGAGGGAGGCCCAGCTCACGGGGTGGGGGTGGGGCTCCACACTGCAGTGGGCTGCAGCGCCCTGGCACCTCTTACAACTGCAGGCGCCTGGGTGGCCCTTGCAGTGTGACCCCCGGGGGTGACCCTGATGTGGGGCCCACGGCGTGACCTGCGGGCTGCAGCTTGAGGAGCACAGTGCAACACAGCAGCCAGAACACACTCTTCCTCCCTCGATGCCCTACAATGTGCCCACTTTGCACACACGTGCCACACGTGCCCACACTCATATACACGTACGCACACGAGCTGCACGTGCACACACATGCACACTCACACATGCATGCAAACGTGTCCTCTCACTGTCTCCTCTCTGCAGATATCCCCACACACAGATGCATGGGCACGTTCTCTTGGGCGGACACCGTTCCCCAGGGTGGGGCGGTGGATGGGGGCAAGCAGAAGGTGGCAGCGCCCCTGGGGCTTGAATAGGGCTCCTTGAACGAGCCAGAGTTTGACCTGATGTGTGTGTGTGTGTGTTTAAGATTCCATTCATTTATTCATGAGAGACACAGGGAGAGAGGCAGAGACACAGGCAGAGGGAGAAGCAGGCTCCACGCAGGGAGCCCGACGTGGGATTCGATTCCGGGTCTCCAGGATCACGCCTCGGGCTGAAGGCGGCCCTAAACTGCTGAGCCACCTGGGCTGCCCCTGATGCGTGTTTTGAATAGATTTCCCCCAGAAGTGGTCTCCAGAACCACAGGGCAGAGGCCAGCCAGGTGGAGCGGCAGTGGCAGGGGGGTGGGTAGGGAACCTGGGGAGTCCTGGAAGGACCTGCAGGGCCTCACGGGGCACCGAGGGCCCCAGTCACCTGCAGCAGCCAGGCCCGAGCTGCAGCGGGGGATCAGCTGGTCTTGGAGGCCTTCATCTCCCGTCTCACAGGGAGCCCCGGTGCTGCGGCGGAGGCCTCAGGCCGCCTGTGCAGCGGCCCCATGGGGTGCACCCCAGTGGCTGGCACAGCAAGACTCAGCGCTGGCCGGGACAGCAGCTGGGGCCCTAGTGACCGGCAGCCCAGTGAGGTGCCCCCAGTACTGCTTAGAGCCTCAGCCCCTCCCACCTCCACCCCGCCAGAGATCCAGGCCAGGAGGGACTGAGGCACTTCTGAGGCATCTGCAGGAGATACAGGTCTCAGGAAACCCCCTGCCTCCTGCCTCACCTGCCCAGGGGGTGCATTCTGGTGCCCCGCAGGTGGACAGTGGAGGTCGGGCATGCTGAGGCTTCTCCCTCCGCGGGGGACCAGGCACCTGGGCGCAGCAGGCGTGCCTGGAGGCAGGGGGACTGGGCCCCATCAGACCTCCGGAGCACCGACCGGGTGTGCGTCAGGACAGGCAGGCAGGGGGACTTGGGGCAGCCCTGTGTCCCCTGTGTCCAGGCTGCGGGGAGGTAGCCAGGGTCACGCCGCCCTGGGGAGAAGCGTTCGCTGGGAGTGCGGGTGCCGAGTGCAGTCAGCTCCAGACCCACCCCCTGGGGCCTAGCATCCCCCCAGCGTCATCCTGCCCCGCCCGGTAGGGGGCTTTGTGCAAGCACTGGGGAGCTAACTGGACACGGTGCGGGGAGCAGAGAAGGGACTCGGGGCAGCCCCACGGGCTCAGCCTCCTTGGAGTCCCCGGGCCCGCAGGACCTGTGAGGCGTCTGGGCCTCCCACAGCCCGAGTACATCAACGGTCCTGTAGATGGTTCCCCTGGATGTTTTCTCTTTATTGTGCGCCGCTGTGCTCTTCCGTGACCTGAAAAATCACGGCCTTTTGAAGTGACAAGACTGTCATCTGTCTTTCATCCGTGTGCTGCCTCTGGGCCTCGCGGCACGGTGCTCAGGGCAGGAACAGCACGGTCAGCCTGCGGTTTGCCGGGGAGCAGAGGGGCTGCATGTGCACGTGGGTGCCCCTGCACACCAGAGGCCTCAGCCCGTGGGCCCCCATTACTGCCCCTGGGGTTCCCGGGCCGCAGCCAGGAGTCCAGGGCCTAAAAGGCCTGGCTGGTCACCCAGCTCGGCGTGGGCTCCCGGGCTCTCTGGCACAGCCAGGGTATGGCCTGCCAGGCCCCAAGGGTTCTCCAGGGCCCTGTGTGCCCCCGGGGAGCGTGGCTCTGGCCCAGGGCAGGTACGGGTGGGCCTGTTGAGTCCTCACCCCATGCTACAATTGTGGGGGCTGGCGTCCCTATTGCTCCTCAGCCTGGGGCCCAGACCATGGCGCCTGTTTTGGATAGCTCAGAGACCGGGTGCTGGGGCCCCTCGGGGAGGATCCTGGTACCAAGCATGAACCCAGGAAAGTTCTGGCACCCAAAGCCGCTCAGTGAGCCCTGTGGTTCACAGGCCCTCCCCTACTTGGCAGCTCCTCCTGTGACCTGGCCGGGCCCAGGGCCTGTGCTCACGCCGTCCCCTTGCCCAGAGCCCCTCCATTTCGTGCCCCCTCCTGCCTCTGTGGGGGCCTCCCCGGGCAGTCCTGGCCCCAGGAGGGAGGCGAGCGGGCCAGCCTGTGTTCAATCACCGCCTGTTAAGTGGGCACAGGCCGCCGGGTGGCCAGCTTTGGTTCAGCAACAGACCGCAGGCCCTGCTGTTCTTTCACACGAGAAGTTGAAATGGAGAAGTTTGTTGCTCGCGTATCCTGAGGACCGGTCCGGAGGGCTGGAGAGGCCACGTCGAGCCACGGGGGTCAAGGCAGGGCGCAGACAGCGGCGCAGAGGCTCACGGCGCTCCCAGGGGCTCCCGAGCTAAGGCCAGGTGGTCGGTTCAAACCACAGGAGCAGGGCTTGGGTAGGTCCGCGGTGCGGGGCTACGTAGGGGCACGACAGCGGGGCCGGGAGGCGGGCGCGCTGCGGACCTTAAGGGCTGCTGGGGAGTCGGGTCCCGGACTGTTTGCTAGTTGCTCTGTGCTGGGGTCTGGGGCCCGAGCTCCCCGGGCGGCCGGGTCAGCACGACGCCGCACAAAACGGATGCGAGGCAGCCGCCCGGAGACTCGCAGTGCGGCCCCTGCCCAGGCGCGCACGGGCACCGGGGTGCGGGGACAGGTGCGCAGCTCCAACCGCAGATCCGCCCGGAGATCACCTGCCAGCTGCTCGCTCGCTCACGGACGCGCTGAGGCTCAGGGCAGCACCTGGGGCCACCCCTGCTGCCCAAGGCCCTGCCCTCCGGTCCCTGGGCCCAGGGGGGTCTCGACGGTCCCGCAGGGCGCACAGGGGCGGGGCGGGGCTCAGAGCGGGGGGCGGGGCGCAGAGCGGAGGGGGCGGGGCTCAGAACGGTGGGGCGGAGCTCAGAGCGGGGGCGGGGCTCAGAACAGGGCGGGTCTCAGAGAGGAGGGGCGGGGATCAGAGAAGGGGCGGGGCTCAGAACGGCGGGGCGGGGCTCAGAGCGGAGGGGCGGGCTCAGAACAGGGCGGGGCTCAGAGCGGAGGGGCGGGGCGCTGAACAGGGCAGGGCCCAGAGCGGAGGGGCGGGGCTCAGAGCGGAGGGGGCGGGGCGCTGAACAGGGCGGGGCTCAGAGAGGAGGGGGCGGGGCTCAGAACGGCGGGGCGGGGCGCAGAGCGGGGGGCGGGGCGCAGAGCGGAGGGGGCGGGGCTCAGGACGGTGAGGCGGGGCTCAGAGAGGGAGCGGGGCTCAGAGCGGGGGATGGGGCTCAGAACAGGGCGGGGAGCAGAACGGAGGGCGGGGCTCAGAGAGGAGGGGCGGGGCTCAGAGAAGGGGCGGGGCTCAGAACGGCGGGGCTCAGAGCGGAGGGGGCGGGGTGCTGAACAGGGCAGGGCCCAGAGCGGGGGGGCGGGGCTCAGAGAGGAGGGGGCGGGGCTCAGAGCGGAGGGGCGGGGCTCCGTGTGGGGGCGGGGCGGGGCGGCGGGGCCCTGCTGCTCGCCCAGTGCTGCGGCTGCTGCGCCCCCACGTCCAGAACCGGCGCGCGGGTTTCGTCCCCGCAGGTACCTGCGTTCTCCCGGGGAAGAGCGTCTGCGGAAGCCCAGAAGCTCCGAGGTGGGCGCTGCCCTCTGAGCCCGGGAGCGGGCCCCGGGGGCGGGCGGCCGGGGTCGGAGGTCCCGGCCGGGCCGCGCCCCTAGAGCCCCAGGCCCCCCCGGGGAGAGGCGGCGGACACGCGGGGCTGTCGGGGTGTCCGCGCGGGGACGGACGCAGGGCGGCCGTGGCTGGCCCCGCAGGGCTCTGTGCACGGCGTGAGCTCCGTGGGTGCGTCCCCCTTGCCTGGCCTGGACCCCGCCGCCGCCGGCCCCGCGCTCCGTGTCCGGGAATGAGGGGCCGGTGCCTGGAAGAGCAGCTCAGGGGAGGGCCGCCCTGGTCCTCTGGACACTAACGGGCCGTCAGGCAGAGGCAGGCGCACCCCAAGGGGCCCGGGGGTCACAGGCAAGCCTGCTGCTTTCCCCAGCACCCTCTCGGGGAGCCTGTCCGAAATGCCGCCTCCCCAAACTGTGAGGCCACCTGGGCTGATGTCACCTCTGCCTTCCGAGCAGGCTGCGGGGTCGCCGGGGCAGTGTAAGGGCCCGAGGTTGGCGGTCCTGGCCAGAGGTGAGGGTCCCGTGTGCACCCCCAGGCCCCGGGGAGGCCGTGTCCGCAGGGCCAGCTGGGGGGCAGCCGGGCAGTCAGGCAGGAGGCACTGTCCCCAGCCCGTCCTGCCGTCACACGGGGTAAACCCCGAGGCCCTGGTGTCTCTTCAGCTGCAGAGACACGAACTGGCAGAAGCACATGCCCAGCTGGAGGTGGCCCTGAGCCCCCTGGACATCCTCAGAGGCGGGGAAGTACGCGTGGGCCACGCAGCAGGCGTAGCTGGACGAGAACCGCAGCATGGCCTCCCGGAACAGCGCCTCGCCCTCCGCGCACTCCAGAAAGACCTGCCTGCACTCCTCCAGGAGCACGTACACGAAGTGCAGCTTGTTCATGGTGTCACAGCCCACCAGCACGGAGTGGGGCGCCAGCAGGAGGTTGGCCTCGCCCGCTCTGAGGGCCAGCTCCCGCATCTTCCTCCTGGAGAACCTCTGGAACCAGCAGAGGGTGTTCACCGCCAGGACCAAGGCGAGGGGGCAGAAAAACACCCCGCACGAGAGGAGCAGGAAGCGCTGAGCCGGCGGGTTCCGCTGGAACCCCAGGACCAGGGTGAAGGACAGCAGCGCCAAGGAGACGAGAATCAGGAAGATGCCCAGCGGGACCCTGCAGCCCAGGTAGCGGAGGCAGGACCTGGGGGACTGCGCCCCGTTCAGGACGCCCAGGGCGCGCCGGTACACCTCGGGCTCCTCCAGCACCTCCTTCAGGGGGTCCGGGACACTCAGGGTGCTGAAGGTCCCCACCTGCCAAGACGACAGGCTGTCCTTGTTGATGCAGTTGAGGGTGAGGAGGGCCTTCCCGCTGTAGAGGGAGGCGGCCGGGCGCAGGGCCGGCACGGAGCGCGCCCCGCACAGGGTGGCCTGGCACAGGAGCCGCAGCACCTTGGGGTAGAAGCGGCTGTCGGTCGCCTCCAGGTAGGTCAGGTGGCTGAGGTGCAGCGGGACCCGGCAGGGCTTCAGCAGGACGGGGATGACGGCCTTCCTCTCCAGGCAGTAGCCGAACAGGGACAGGTCGGCCTCCAGGAGGCACCACCGGCTCTGCACGAAGTCCTGGCTCAGCAGCAGGAGCACCTTCTGGCTCTGCTGGATGCACTCGGCCATGTTCTCCAGGATGTTCCTGCCGGGGACGAAGTCCCGCTCGTGCAGACACACCCGCAGCCCCGGGAGGTCCGCCTCCAGGCGGCCGATGAGCGCGTGGGTCCACGCCGCGTCCCTGCTGCTGTAGCTCACGAACACGTGGAACTTCTCGCCGGGCCTCAGCGGGGGGATGGCCAGGGCCCCCCCTTCCTCCTCAGGGTCGGGATCCATGGGCACCGCCAGGGAATCCACCCCCGGGCAGCCGCCTGGGGTCTCCGGAGAAGGAAGCCGCCCTCAGGCTGTGAGACGGGAAGACAGACTCCCTCTGCGGGGACTCTGCGGAGGAGGGGAGGACCGCTGCGGAGGCCGGAGGACCACTGTGGAGGACGGGAGGACCGCTGCGGAGGATGGGCCAGGACGGCAGTGAGGCCCCAGGAGCCAGGGGGGAGCCGCCAGCAGCCCCAGGAACCACCCGCCTCGGCAGCGACCACCAGCTCCTGCTCCGTGCCCCCTTCCACCTCGGGACCCACCGGGAGGGCCGTCCGCATCCCTTGGCCATCGCCTGGCCCTGGCCCCCAGCCTCCCCCCTGGACCAAGCCCCCGCCCCCGGGGCGCCCCCGCTGCCCGGCCTGCCTCCGGGTCTCTGCCGCAGTGACCGAGCTCCCGGGGCCGTGAGCCGTCACCTGGGGCGTCCTCCCACCTGAGCAGTAGCCCGGTGCCCTGAACTGACCGCCAGGCTCCAGACTCTGAGAAATCACTAACATTTAGGAGCCCGGGCCCTCCCTGGGGCCCCTTCTAGAACATGCCAGCAGGTCTCTAAGCCGCTCCACAGCCTCGCAGCAAGATCCCACTGCTCAGACTCGGTGATCAGAGCACCCAGAGGCTGAGCTGGACACCCGGCCCCGCGAGGTGTGCGCCGCTCGCCCAGGAGGCTCGCCCAGCCCGACCCCCCAGGACTCCGGGCTGAGGCCCTGCCTCGTGCCTGCCACCACCTGGGCGCCCTGCACACCTCGCGTGGCGGCTGGTTCCCGGGCCGGCCTCACGGGCAGAGTGGGCTGCGATGCCACGGTGCCAGGCAGCCCCTGCTGAGACCCCTGCCCTTGGGTGCGCAGGAGCAGGGGGCACAAAAGGAGGGCCCGCGAGCAGCCCTGGGAGACCAAGGAGGAGAAGCCCACCTGCCCACCGCGGCCTCGCCCCTGCTCCCCCCGGTGGCTGGAGGCAGGGCGCCCATAGGAGGGGGCTCGCCCCGCAGCCCCACCCAGCACAGCACGGATGGAGCCGCTGCAGGAGGCCGTAGCGTTCACCCTTCCTGCCCGGCAGGCCCGGTGCACGGGCACCTTCCCCCTGCAGCCAGACGTCCTGTGAGCGGGGCTACGGGGGGCACTTCACCGGGGCCCCCTCCAGGGAGGGCTGCCCACCCCCCTCTCTCACCGGCGTCCTGCAGGTGGGTTGGGCGTGCGCGCGGCGCGGGACTCCGATGCTGCTCCTGCTCCGGGCCCCGAGGGCCCGAATAGCGCAGGCTCTGGCCTCACCGCTCCTCGGGCGAGGGGTCGGGCTGGGAGGCGACCTGGAACCCCCCACCCCACCCCCAGCGCTGTCCTCAGACAGAAGGAAGTCTGCAGCCAACACTTTCTAGAGGCATCTCTGCTCCAGCACGAGCAGTGGGAAACTGAAAAGGGAAGCAAATTGAGGAAGGCCCCTGGCGTGGGATGGGGGTGGGCGGACAGGGCCCCTTCTGAGAACGAAGCTGGGGACCTCACGGGGCCCGGCCGGACGGCGGGAGTAACGCGGCCATGACGCTCTTGAAATCGGCCCGGGGGTGATGCTGGGTGCTGCGCGGCAGCTTTGCTGGAGTCGCCGGCTCGCTGGGGCCCGCCTGGCGGGGAGGGCTGGGCGCCCCCGGTTGGTTCCTTGGAGCAGGCCTGGAGGGGGCGGGGGGGGCATCCTCTGTGTCCCCGGGGCTGGCGACGCCCTCCAAGAGCCGATGGCAGCTGCTGGGTGACTTCCCCAAACAGTGGAGCTCGCCTCCCCCGCCCCCCCAGGCCTGGAGGTGCAGCCTCCCGGAGGCTTCCCCCCACCCACCCCCACCCCGGCCCCTCCCCCAGTCCTACTCCATGACCCAGGGGAGTAGCGTCTGTGCCCCCGGGGCCTGTGCCCACCCCCACGGCCCCCCCACCTGAGCCAGAGGCCCATCTCCCACCTGCACCATCTCGGTTCCGGTTCCCGTGGTCACTTAGCAGAACAGCTACTCGGACTCACACCTGAGGAAGAAACTCCAAGCCGCACGCTCCTGTGTGATTCCTACAAACAGCAGAACCCAGAATCGACGAAGCGGCTCGATGCCTTGATGCCAGGGAGACCAAGGAGGAGAAGCCCACCTGCCCTGCGACGTGTCACCACCGGTTTGGGGCACAGCCTGCTACCGTCCCCAAGAGGCCTGGAGACACGGGCCTGCCCTTTGAGGACCGAATCCCCTAGAAAAAGGCCGTATGTCCAGCTGATGGACTTGTGCCTGAAACAACGGGACGTCGAGGGACGTGCACTTGCAGCACTGTCACTGTTTGGAGGATAAGAGTTTTTCAAAATATTTTATTTACTTGAGCGAGAGCGAGAGAGCAGACACACGCTGGCCGCACAGCGTGGGGGCGGGGAGGCAGCGGGAAAGGGAGCAGCAGACTCCTGGCTGAGCCTGGGGTCCACGCAGGGGCTCGGGGCTCGACCCCCCAACCCTGAGAGCGTGACCTGAGCCGTCAGCCCGGCGGCCCCGGTAAGGAGGATTTCCACAACTAGTCCTTTGAGGGGCCACCCTCCCTGCACACTCTGCCCCCCAATCACACAGACACTCTCCCTCCCCAGCACCCGCCCCCAGAAGTGGGGTGGCCTGGGGTGACCCCCCCCACAAGGACAGGGCAGGAGCCCTGGAGTTCTGCTCAGCAGAGGGGACGGCGCCAGGGGTGGCTCCACCTGCCAGGACCCAGGAAGGCAGGGAGAGACGGGGGCGGGCGGGCAGCGGGGTGCAAAGGCTGAAGACAGTCCCCCCAGGAGGGCTGTTTGGGAGCCCCTGACCCCCCCCCGACAGCCCCCGCTGGGGGCACCCTGGGCGGTAGATCTGCTGGGCAGGGCCTCCCAGCTGCACACCCCTGCCCTCCTGGCTCTGGGGGCACCTGGGGACACGACCCTGCCCCCCACGGCCATGGATGCCCCTCCCCCTCTGCAAGGCCGGGGACCCCAGACCCAGACCTCGGTTCCCTACCAGAGCCAAGGGGAAGAACTGGGGGCATCGGGAGGATCTGCACCCCACACTCATTCACGCGGTAGCCTGGGCTGTGGGGAGTGCGGGAGGGCCAGGTGGGGGTTCAAGTGGGGACCCCCCCCACCGTCACCACTTTCCTTGTTACCTCTGCTTCCCCAGCAGACTCCGCTCCTCACCAAGGGGGTTTGCTCCTTAGGTTCAGCACCAGGGGCAGGGCTCCCGGGGGTCCCTGGGGTCTCAGAGCAGTGACGCCCCCGCCCCCAGGGGTCCAGTGTGTGCCAGGCGGGCCTGAGAGGGCAGCTGCTGCCTCTGACCAAGGGCTGGGGGCCCTGCTCCTCGGGGGGCCGGGTGGGGGGAATCCTGGTCCTTCCTCAGGCCTGGGCCCACCCCCTCCACCCCGACTCTGACTCCGAGGGAGTCACTGGGCGTCCAGCACCAAGGACGGGGTCGGGACTGGCGAGGGGCACCTGGGGAGGCGTGGGGGACACGCCTGCAAGTCCCCTCCTCTTCCGGGGGGTCCCCTCCTCGGCAGCCCACGGAGAGCAGAGCAGACCCTGGGGGGTGGGGCGTGCACAGCCCCCGGCGCCCCCATCGCCGGTCAGGGATCCCCGGCAGTGGTCAGTCGTCCTTGGGGCCTTGTCCCTGGCGCAGGAAAGACTTTGCTCCTAAGAAACCTACCAGGGACTCAGGGGAGGGGGTGACCCCCAGAGCTCAGGGGCTCCGCGCAGGGTGCTGCTTCCCTTCCCACCTGCTTCCCGACCGGCCCTGCCCTGACGCTCTGGAAGGTGCCCGGAGGCTTGAGGCTCCCCGGGCCTGGCCTCACTTGGTGCACCTGCTGCTCGGCCCCAACAGCCCCCCGTCTGCGCTCGGCCCCTGTCCCCTCACCGTCTGTCGACACCCCAGGGTCACGACCTGGGCTGAGGGCAGACGCCCAACCACTGAGCCCCCCAGGCGTCCCAACAAAGCATTTCTTTTGACTTCCTTCCAGAACAAGGGCCGACACAGAAAACAGAACTGCCGCCGCGGGGCAGCTGTGCAGGGCGTCGGAGCACCGGGGTCGTGGCACCGTGTGTCCATGGTGACTGCTGCCCAGGACGGCTCCCGAAGGCCACTGTGGCTCGCACCCCCCAGGGGGTGATTTGAGAATTTAGGGCGCACACAGGAGGCCCCTTCTCCGCTTGTTCCTGGAAAAGGGTCTGGAAACAGGCACAGCTGGCAGCCGTCCCCGCGGGCCGGGAGGGGACACGCCGCCGAAGGAGGGCCCAGACTCAGGCGGGGGCCGAGCGTCCTTCCCGGATTGTCCCAGCGCAGGACGGACAGGTGTCCAGGCCGCTTCCAGACGCACCTGCGTCATGCCGGGTCCATCCGTCCAGACACTGGGGCCCTCGGGACCGTCAGCTGCTGTGGCCAGCCAGGCCTGCAGCTGGACCTTCAGGTGACGGCCGGAGGTCCGTGCCCCCAGGCACAGCAGCTCAGGATCTGGGAGTGAAGCGGGAGCGGGGCTGGTCCCACACGGAAGGACGCCCCATCGCGGTCAGTGGGCTCCAACACCTGGGAAGAGCCAGCCGGGGGTGGGGTGATGACCACATGGCACTGCCTTCCGGGCCTCCCCCCCGCCCCGTGCCAGCCTTGTTGGCCTCGCCTCGGCCCCCCCCCACTCCTGCCCTTAGAGTCGCTGCTCAGACCTCATGCTGGGGTTTCCCTGACGGCACCCCCGGGGCTGAGGAGGACGGTTCCCTGCCCGGAGTGTGGGCGGTGCCCCTCACTGGCTGACCCTGGACAGGTCGAGGCTTGCCTGGAGGCCGGGCCCACCTCCCCTTGGCCAGGCTTGGGCCGGGGCGGCGGCGGGGGCCGGGGGGCGGCCACCTTCTCGTACCAGGTACTGCCTCCCACTCGGCATCTTCAGAACCTGGAGGTCAGCCTGGAGGTACCACTTGTCCTCGCATTCGCCCTGAGGCACGACCACCGGGACGCCGTGTGACCCAGAACCCAGGGCACCCCTCAGAGCCCCCAAGTCCCCAGCTGGGTCCGGCCCACTCGGCCGGGCTGGCCACAGAGAGGCGGGCAGGGCCGGCGCAGCCACCGGTCAGCTCGTCCGCACCCGGAGCCCTGGGGCCCGGAGCTCCCGGCCCTCCCCCGCGGCCGTGTCGGTGGGGCCTTGCTCCCGGCCTGCCTGGCTCCGAGGCCCAACAGGGTTAGGGCCACTCCAAGCCCCGGAAGGCCCCGTCCCCGCTGCGGCTTTGCAGGCAGGACTCCCACCCCCTGGGGCGGGCCTGCATCTGGAGCCGGCAGCTCCTGGAAATCAGTGGAGGCTGCATTTGTTCTGAGCATTAAGGGACGTCAGTGAGAATTCAGGGGGGGAAATGTGAGGCCGCGAGGCCGTGGGGCGTTTTCCCCTGTGCCCGGAGCGAGGCAGCTCGGAGGGGCTGTGCTCGTCCGTGTCTTGTCCAGCGCCGCCCGGCTCAGGCCGGTGCCCCTCAACACCCCCCGCTGTCCTGAGCCCCCTCCCCTGGGATTTACAGGCTTAATCAAGCCACTCTGGCTTCTCGGGGCTTCTGGCCACCACAGGAGTGAGATTTGGGAATCAGGGTTTCAGCTCCGAATTCCAGGTCCAAGTAGAAAGCGGCTCGCAGGTCCCCTCTGGAGTTCCCAGCGTCAGACCTCCCCGCAGCAGAGGGCAGGGAAGCCCCGGGGACGGTCCCCGAGCGGAGGCCACCCCCGGGGCTCAGGCTGGCCGGCAGCAAGGCCCCAGCTTCCAGCCCCGAGAGCTTCACACGCAACGGACGCCCAGTGTTGGGTCAGCCTGAAGATGGGAGATGAGGACACGAGTGTCAGGCCCTCTGCGTGGCCCCGAAGTCTCAGTGTTCATGACCCTGTACCTGGGAAATGATTAAGAAACGTTCCACGTGGGCAGCCCGGGGGGCTCAGCGGTTTAGCGCCGCCTTCGGCCCAGGGCGTGACCCTGGGGTCCTGGGATCGAGTCCCGCGTCGGGCTCCCTGCAGGGAGCCTGCTTCTCCCTCTGCCTGTGTCTCTGCCTCTCTGTGTGTTTCTCATGAGTAAATAAACAAAATCTTAAAAAAAAAATAATTCCATGATCTGCCCCAAACAACATGTCCTATGGGCCTGCGACATGTATTACACCGTGAATATGCTGTTTGGCCAAGCAAAGGGCAAAGTCTCAAGTGCCCATCGGCGTCCTGGTAGGGCCTGCCTGCTGCCGCTCCCGGTGTCCAGAGCAGGAGCAGGGCCATCCTCCGGGGACGGTGGCCACTCCACAGCTCTCCCCAACAAGGGAACGGGGGGTCACTCTGGTCCAAAAGAGGACATGGGGCTCTGGAAGGTGGGAGCGGTAGGAGGTG